GTTCGATGGTGGGTAGAAGAATGGGTTAGCGGTGGCTGATGCCTGGAATTAAGCGCACATCGAGCCGAATGTGCCTGTGGGTGGGGTGCTGGGGGGTTGTGGTTGAGTGGTGGCTGCCGCGTCTCCGGGCGACCTGAAATTGTTTACATGGGCCCGTTTCAGCCAATCAAACCCAATTTGCCGCACATGGCAGGATGGGCCCTGCATTGGAGCTTCGAGACTAATAACTGCTCACCAAGTAAACCTTGGTTTGGTCGCTTTTTCCCCATGAAAATGAAAATGAAACGAATCAAGGCAAGTTAAGGCGTCACTCGCACTGGCCAGTGACCACCTGCGCTTCTACCATATCCACCGTGACCACCGCCGCCTCCATCCTTCCGCCTCCATCTCCACCTCCACCTCCTCACTTGTTTGTTTCCTTCGTTTGTCCTGCAACAACTCGCTGAATACACAGACCTTGCCTTGTGCTGCCTTCGTTGGGTTCTTTTGTCTCTTAGCTCTTAATTCGTTCCACCAAGCCGTTCTTTTGGGTCCTTGCCGGCCTCGGTTGCCCTCTGTCTGTCGTTCGTTTCAGATCTCCACCTTCGTTGTCCTCGCCGGCCCGCGGACGGGCGCCTGTCACCACTGGAGCACTGACCTCATCTGCCTTGCTTGACGGACACACGGTCCCGTTTCACCAACATCTTGACCACCCCCATACGTTGTCATGTCCTAGCAACCACTATACGGTCGATGGTAGAACTATGGCCGCAATATTATAATCCCGCCCGCTAAGAGTGAGGCACAGGAAACTTTGCATTTGCAAGAGGGAGCATCTATTTTACGAAATCTTTACAATCCGCGGCATTCGCCGTGTTGCTCAGCATGTGGTTTGCTCGAAGGAGGTCGAGTCTCGCCGCAGAGCCCATCCAGAACCAGCCCGAGCCTCGTCGAAGAAACCGCCTATCCAAGCCCCTCACAAGCAATGCAACCAAAATTTCCACGGTTATCTCGGCCCCGGGTCTTCACGTCCAGGTGCCCGTCTCGCGGAGCAAAAATGCGAGCGGTACAGATTTGTCGAGCCCATTATCCCCCATGTCAGGAGATGCGGCCTCGCGCCAGCAATTTCGGGATGATACACCTCCTTCAGAGGCAAATTCGCCTCTCCACGCGCGCAAGAATGATTCAAACTTCAGGGTCGCCTACATGGTCAGTCAACTTGAGGGAAAGGTTGTTGGAACCGAGACAAGTCCAACGCACAAGCGGCAACAACAAGCAACTCCTCCTCTATCACCTATCAAACAGCCGAAGAGAAAATCCCTTCTGCTGCGGCGCTTGTCTCTGCAAAGGTCTTCCAGTATAACCCGGACCCCCAGTAACGAACGTTTTAATTCTTTGAAATCCGATACAACGGTCACCACGACCACAGATGCGTCTATGGACAAAATCATCGATCCCCAGCCGATTCCTCCTACGCGCCGATCCTCCTTCACTCCTGGCACCGCGACAAGAAAGCCATCTGAAATTGCCAAGAAGCAGGAAATACAAGAACGTAAGGCGATTCAAGAGATGGAGGAGCAAGAGGCAATTGCTGTCGATATGGATTCCTGGGACTGGCAGCCTCCGCCTCCCAGGACAGTCGGGCGGGCCGGTACACCTTCAGACATCAGTTATTCACATCTCGGCGGGTTAAGACTCGGCTCTCTGCAAATCGTCAATGGACGAGCATCACCTACCTTCAGCGAAGTCTCAAAGGCCTCGAAGCAGCTTCGGTCTGCTGCTGCTGCTGCTGCTGCTGCACCACGCAGAGATGGGTCGAGTGATTATGGTGATGCCGAGGAAGACTCTGAGCTATTGATCTCGGCAGCCGGAAATCCATCCAACTGGAGGTCAAGGCCTTCGGATGGAAACGCCGAACTTCGATACTTCAGTTGGGAGCCGAACGATGATAAAGCTGGCCCACAGATCCATCCCTTGCAAAGCGTTATGACGGCACACCAAGATGCTGATCCCACTCCAGCCGAGGACCAGACGTCCTTGATGGCCAAAGAATATATTGCGGAGCTAGGGGCCAGTCCATTTGACCAGCAAATGTCGAGCTCTCCTGTCGGCACTGTAAGAAGGTCTAGATCTGATGGGTCGCTCTGGAGGGTGAGCTCTTGCTCGTCACTCCAAAATTCGTCTAGGCCTGGCAGTGATCTGGGGGATCTCTCTCCGGTCAGCCCTCTGGAGAGGTCATCTTCTCCAACTGGGTCTGTGCTTCGCAAGGCGAGTGTCAGGACTGAAGAGAGCGGATGTCGAGAAATCCCGCAGAACGATGACACGAACGACGAACATCGGCCTTGTGATAGTCCTATGAGCTGGTATTCCCCCATTGAACCGAGCTACTCGGTTGACGAAGGCTTCCAGTCGGCGGTCGAATTCCAAGCCCAGCTCTCAAACCCTAGCGTTGGACTCCAGCCTCTTCGTGCACCTGAAAAATCAGATAGTGGTTACAGCTCAAGCAACTCGCTCCGATCACTTCAAATGGCCAGACCGACACCGTCACCTGCGAAATTTGAGGCTCTGCCGGAGGTGCCAGATGCAAAAGTGAGTACTGATGCATCAGAGTCGGGCCGTGCGCCAAATAACCTTGGGCTGAGACCGTCAATTCTAAAGTCACGGAAGACCGATTCTTACGTACCAACGTTCACCAATCTTCGGCCCAGCACCGTGTCATCAACTCCGAAGCAAATCGTTCCAGCAACGACAGCCGCTGAAGCCGACCCTGCCTCCACCAAGCTTACGAACTTCCGAAAGAAACTGCTGAAAAAGAGGCGCCCATTGAGCCAGCCTCCTGGTCAAATTGCAGTTGTTCGAGTTCAATCATTTGAGTTGGACAGTATTCCGCTGGTGTCCCCCGAGGCACGAGAAAATCTTCGGGTACGGTCACACGCCGTACCAGAACTGGAACAAACATACTCCTCGCTTGACACGCTGGCCAGCAGAGCTAGTCGCTCGACCCTTTTTCTTCCCATCAATGAGGTCAGGCTCCCATCGCCGGCTCCGCAACAAGCACTTCAAGTTAAGCGGCCCCGGTCTCGCAGTCGCCCGAGATCATGGTTTGGTCGGCCTAAAGAAGAGAAGGTGAGCTCAAAGGGCAAATCTGGAATTAGCCAAGCTGAAGCGTTCGCCATCATCAACGACCCGGGGACAGTCAGCACTTCTCTGGGGAAAAGCGCTTATGGTTCTCCTGACGCAAGCAACGTGTCCGAAGGAATCAATAATCCATTGATGATTTCTGGTTTCTTGCAGCCGCGGTCGATGATCATCGACGAGGCTGCTGCAGACCTGTCCCCCTTTCGACGCCGATCCATACAGGAGCGAGAAAGCAACATGTCGGACCGGAGGTCCTCATTCAATGACAGAGGAGGCATACCTGGTAAGAATCTAAGACCAGCCAGTCTTGCCAGTGATGCACCACCAATCACGCCTGAGATGATAGAAAAGGCGTACCGGACCTCATCTATGCAACGGCAGCCTTCGATCCACAATGAGGTGGGACCTCGGCCTCCTCCACACTCACCACGCCCTTCATACATCGATTATGAAGGCGACAGTTCCGATCCGATTGCCCCTCCCCCTCCATCCCATTCCCCGAGGCCGATCGATATAACGCCACACCCTTGGGCTACGCAGGCTGCGGTATGGAAGGCGCGAAGACAGTCTGCGGGCGAACTCCTGAAGCTTCAATCCTGGGACTCGCGGAAGCATGAGCAATACTATGAGGATGTTGCGGATGAGTCGCTCTATCCAATTATACCTCCACGACAGGTCCCCCAGGAGGGGGAATGGACGCAAGCTTTTTCACCCGAAGGATATTCTTCTTTTCCCCACGATTATCCTGGCGGATACAACAGGTCCTCTCTGCCTCAACTGCAGGAGTTTTCGTCGTACGGAGCCTCATATTATGGCCCTTGTGAGTCTGAATCTGCGTATGTAAGAGAGTCCCGACGCAGTTCCAGGGCGCCTGACCACCGGCAACCTCGTGGCCGTGGACTGCAGTCGCGAGAGCCGTCTCCGCATGACCCCTTCCGATCTGCCCGGGCTTCGGCCGGCACCAGCTCTTCTCGTCCTCAGTCGAATGCGAATAGTGTGCGCAGCTTTGGTCCGTCTTTGGCCGAGGAGTTGCACCCAACCAAGTCGGAGAGGCAATATCCGCCACCGGCATTCGGGCGATATTCGGGAGGGCTGAAGTATGGCTATGAGGGTGGAAACGGGTTAGGAGGCTCGGTTGGGACCAGGTCAATGAGTGGAAAAGCTGAAGCATCGCGGAAGGGCGTCTCGCTGAGAGCCAGCTTTGGAGTTGACCAAGGGAATGTGCCTTTGGGGATCATGTCAAGATGGTGAGCATGATAAAGCCTGGGGCTTTGATAATGACGGGGGACCGATTGGAAAAACAGGCCGAGTCAAGAATTCCCAAAAAGGGGCTTACGAGATTGATTCTATCTGGGAAAGTTTGGTGTACGACAAGACGGATGCGTCAATTTCGGCATTTTGGGTGTAGTTGTACTTGTATTATGAAGCGGCCAGCCGGATTGAATAATGAGTGACACAGTCTACCTTTAATTCAATGGACCTCTACTTTTCTTGCTCGTGAATGAAAAATGAACCGAGCCACCCCTGACCCACCAGTTGCAGCTGTCAACAAACCCTGGCACCTTGGGGCAGATTACCTCGTACCTGTGGAAGTGGTGAGAACACGTCTGGCTTGATGTAGGATGGTGGCATGTCGCAAGGAGCTCAAAGCGATGAAGTGCCATTTCTCCCCTGTGGATGGGACTCGGTAGAGTACTGTGAATACGAGAGCCACTCCGAGGGGGCTTTCTCTCCTTGGACCGTAAGTTTTCATTCTGGCCGCGCGTGAGATATATTAAACAGAAATGGTTCCCCTTGTCTCCCTGAGGCGCCTGAGTTACGCAAACTATCCCGAAGTCCACAAAACACATCCCGAGCGCGATACCGAGTAGGCACCTCCCGAAATGTCCAAACCCTCAATATCTCCGCCGATTATTCTGTTGGCCTTTATCCTCGTCCCCCTTTACATCCAGCCCGTGTCTGCCGGTGGAACAGTTACAATCACTGCAGCTGCCGCCTACTCTTCTCTGCTTCCCTGTTCACAGGAATGCATCTATAGCCCCGACCTGGGCTGTCCCACCGCCCGCGATCCTGTTGGCAACGCCATCGGCTGTTACGACAGCCTCACCGCCGCGTGCGAAAAGGTCCCATGGGCGATGGACAGCTGTTACTGCCGAAGTGACCTGCAAATCAATGCTGTCAGCGCCATCAGCAGACGTGTGTTCTCTCTGTGCACCCTCGGCGACTCGATGGGTGATTTTACATCGGTTTCGAACCTGTATACTGGGTATCGTTCGCGGGCTGGATTTCCTGTAACCACTGCTGCTGCCGCTTCGACTGCGGTGGCGCCTCTTATTCCTTCGAGTGCAGCCGTCACTTCAAGTTCGTCAAGCTCAAATTCTAGCCCTTCTTCTCTCTCGCTTTCAGGTTCTTCCTCGTCAAGCTCCCAGGATAATGGTCTTTCTTCAGCGGCAATTGTAGGCATTAGTGTGGCGGGCTCGTTGGCTGGAGTCATATCTGCCGCTGTAGCCCTGTACGAACTTCGCCGTCGCAGACGCAGATAAGTACTCAAATTGCACATATATTTGGTATTCCTGGATTGAACAGCATGCCCGGTGTTCTTGGATGGTTTGACCCATTCAATTTGCATACTTCTGAGGTCGTTTCTGGTGCGCCGGGGGTTGCAACATTGTGCCGTGCCCAGTCGTAGGCGATCGACGACGAGGGGATCTGGATGGACAGTTGAATGTGATGAGTCCCGAGACACAGGAGCAGCGGCAATAGGGTTTTGGCTTTTGGCCCCTTTATGACGAAAACTGCTTCTCCGTACCTCGTAAATGCAAGGGCATGTCGCGCGGGGCGGGATGGTGATTGGTGTCGATACCGCTGGACGACAACAAACTCACGACATGGAGGCTTGTAAGGGCAGTCTTGAACAGTCTATTGGCAACTTGCAGTATTATTATTAACTATTTGGCCAGAACAAGAACCGCGCGGCCATGTCCCGCCGTCTCTATCTTTATCCTGCCTGCGCGGCGTCAGACCTGCCACCAACACCCTGGCACATTACACAAGCCATCTTGAGCTTAGTCGATCCCAAACGTCGTTACCAACTTACCGTTTTCGCTTCCCACCTTCAAATTCTCCGATTGTCTCTCCAGAATCCTCGGTACGGATCTTGTGTCTCTGTGTCTGGGGCCCGTTCGACTTGGCTGCACAGTCTCTCGTTGTGTCCGAGCCTGCCATCACACACTCAATCGACTCTCCTTCGTCCCTCCATCCCTCCATCCCTCCCAGTCAGCCATGGCTCAAATCGAGTCTCCCAGGTCGCCCATCTTGCCTGACACTCTGTTGTCAGTCACTGCTCTCGCTCGCTTCGAGTTTGAACCCGGCAAAGGCAATGATGGCACCAAAGTCATGATGGTTGAATGGCAAGACGACGACCAGGCAAGAGCAAAGTCAGGTAGATGGCAGGTCTCGTGGTCCGGCAAACGCACCGTCTTCCCCGCAGACGACAATCCCTCAGACAATATCCGTCGTGTATATTTCCTTCTCCCTCCTGGCGCCATTGTACCGCCTCACATCACTTTAGCATACTATCCTCCCACAGACCCCGTGGTATCTGCCGAGACCCCTGCGACAGAGCCCACCCCTCTAAGAATGACGGTGAACCCGCTACCTGCTATCTTCACTCCCGAGCTGGGTGCCACGGCCAATGCCAGCGGCAGGAAAGGCGTACTTCACACTATATGGGCTAAGAAGAGGCTCCAGGTGTTGGACAAAGAAATCAAGGACGAGGAAGCACACAATCTAGAAGGCATTGCGTTGGAGATGGCCCGATCTGAGAAGTCTTGGATCGAGAACAATTTCGGCCTGACTCCAAAACCCCCGAACCTCGATCTGAGCAGCATATCCAAATCCCCCATGGGACCTACGAGTCCGGGTATCCAGAGTCCCAAGTCTCCTGGTGGAAGAAGGCTCAGTGAGAAACTCAAGGGCTTAAGCATTGGGACCAGCGACAGAGAACTCAATGCGAGGGGTCTGAATACTCCCACCCGCGATTCTCATCCTCTCTCGCCCGAGGCATCGGATATGGCCTATTCGTCATTCAGTAGCTTCCAGAATGGCCCGGGATCCGCTACATCTACCACCGGAGGTAGAAAGATCGTTGCTCAAGCACCACCGGACTATATCAGGAAACAGCAGGGACAGTCGCCCGCCACGGCTTCCCTCAATTCCGTGGGCCAGATACCCAAGCCAGATGATCCCGCAGACGATGATTTGTTTGCGGTTGCGCTAAGTCCGAGGTCACCGGATGGCCCAAAGAGCCCCTTTTCGATATCGAGCGCCGAAGTCGGTGCATTTGCCAAGATCAAGGGCGAGCGATGAGAAACGGCAAGCTCGACATGGTCATGACAAAGTTCACAACATGAGACGATTCATAAACGATCCTAGAATGCTATTTGAAGATTGCATAGAGTCGGAATTCCAGCCCCAGATCATGAAAGCCACGATCCTTTATGTCCAACATTTGTCTGCAACATTCAACTGACCCGCAGCTGCTCAGTAGCTGCTCCTCCTTCATTTTGCTGATGCCAATCGACGTCCGTGCACAGCGCCCTTAGAAAGATGACTCCATCTAGAAAATAAACAAGACAAGATGCATTTCCTCAGCCTCAAAGAAAATTATGCAAACATCGCCGCCGCAATCAACCCCACAACGCCTACCACCGAACTTCCCAATCGATTTGCGTTACCCTGAAATGTCGACGCCGAGGGGATCGGTGCGGACGACGGAGAAGTTGGCGGAGGTGGCACGTTCCCACCAGGGGGAGCGGTGTAACTGGTGCACCCACTTCCAGGACACGGAGCCGTGGTAGGAGCCGGGGCTATGGCAGTCTTGGTGCATCCGCAGACTTCGTCGTACCAGGTGTATTGTGTTCCAGCCAGATCCGAACCAGTGGCAGCGGCGGTCGCGGGCATCTCAGAAGTCTTTGTGCAGCCGCAGTCGTGATCCCAGTATGTGACGGTTACAGTTGGGGCTGCCGTGGTTGTAGGGTCGACGGTAGCCGAGATGGGATTGCCTGTGACAGTGGCATTGGGCATTGGTGTTGTCATCGACATGGACATCATAGATGTCGAACTGGACGATCCAGCAGGGGCAAGGCTGACGCTGAATAGCGGAGAGTAGTCCATGGCACCACTCTGAACCAAGGCCAAAGCATAGTTGCCAGCGACAAAGCCATCGGGGACTGTGACGGTCCAGTCATATTCTCCATCACTGGCAGGTTTGTCCTCTATATGGGATCAGTCATTCGTAATGGAAACTTCAGTCTCGGACTGCTCTGCAGGTTCGACATACCGAAGATTGGAGTATTCCAGCTCGTGTTCCCTAGGAATAAGGAGACAGGTGTCCCATCGCCGACAGTCCAGTGGATAGGCCAAACCTGACCGACTGTGACGGCATTCCACGTCATGCCCGGAGCGAAGGTGGCTGTTTGAGCCATTGCCTTGTAGGCGAAGCTACCGACGGCGACAAGCAAGAAAGAACGCATGGCTGCTCTGGATTATGCGAGTTTTGGATTGGACAATTGAAGTCTTTTTCGATCGACAAGATGTGAGATCGAGGGTTGCAAAAATATGGGAAGGACTAGGCAAACGAGTGACACAGCTAAAAAGAGTGACTGAAGAGAAAAGAAGAAGACGAAAGAATTGTCAGGGTACGAGCGACGAAGCCACGTAAATGAAGGTGGCAGGCCATGCCAGATGTTTGTTGTGGTCGCTGGATGGATACGGTGCATTCCAACGAGGAATGGGTTTAGATCAAGGGTGGTGGTGATCTGGAGGCTCGCACACGTCGCATTCTTGGTCTCTCGACGAATGACACCGGCACACCAACTCTCAGAGGCACATATGGCTGGATTCACCTCTGATCTGGAGTCCTATATCCTCTTCTGGGCTCTGGCCTGTCGTCCGAGCTTGGAATGAGACGACTGATTGCACGACTACCCTGACAGCCCAGCCTCTACCGAAGCAAGAAGTATGATTGCATGGATCATGGTTGATTCCCGAAGGGTGAAAAGAACCCTGGACCATGGACCTACCGGCTGATTGACATATCGCATGTTTAAAGTTCGATTGACATGCTCAGGGTTTCGGTCATACCAAAAGGGAAGAGGAGGCAGGGATCGAAGAGAAGTATAGGAGGCGCCGACATATACCTAGTATACAAACATGCAACCATGCTTACATCGAATGCTGGGCTACAGCCTACCAACCTCTCACCGATGCACGACGATGCTCTACCTCGGGCTCGCCAACCTTCGCCGCTATCGTTCCATCTCATGGCCCCCTCGTAGTCTCGGTCCCGGTCCATTGATATGTTTGTTGGTTTAATATGAGTACTCCGTCCCGAAAGCAACCGCCCCTCCCTAGCTTCGAATGGATCCATGACGCCGGGCCCAAGTTGGTCCAAGTTCGGGTGCTGAGGCGGGAAAGCCACATTGCGAAATATTCAGTCCTCTTCCTTGTTATCTCTTCCTTTTTTTGATTTTGTTTTTCGACCTCCTTGCCAGGAAGGATTGTTTGCCTTAATTCAGAAACGAAACATGAAAGGCTACTGGGCTTGCCCTCAGCCCGGTTGCCACACGACGCCCTTCCTTCCTCCAAAAGAGTCATTCCGCCTTCAGCGCGCTTCCGCAAGGGGAGGATCGTCTAGCCAGATGTCTAGTGCCGCTACAACAAGGCGGCAACGCCCACCACAACTGCCGGCACAAAGATGCCCATGCCCGATACGGCGGCTCTATCTGCTGCACCGTTCGCGCCTGCGCCGGTCGTTGCAGCCGTGCCCGCCGCCGTCGCGGTGGTGTCGGTGGCCGCAGCGGTCGCAGGAGAATCAGTACCCGCCGTGGCAGAGTCTAGCGCCGAACTCGCCTCCGAGAGGTACGAGGAGAGCATGCTGCCCGCCGACCCGGTCACCGACGGCAACTGGCTCGTGGCGCTCTGGATGGCGGACTCGATGCTCGTGATGAGCGGTTCGGTCGCGGTGGCGGAGTCGATGGCGGAAACGACGCTGGAGACGAGAGAGGTCGCGTCGGAGAGTAGCGAGCCGAGGTCCTGTGCGTGCACCAGAGGACCGGCCAGGGTCAGAGTAGTCGCTAGGATGGTGGACAGGCGCATTTTCGTGATTCTGGGTGAGGTATGTATTGTGCTGTAATTGATGTCCTGCAAGTCTTGATTGAAGGCTGGTGAAGGAATGAATGAATATATGGACTGTATGGGAGGACGGAGATCAGTCCTGCAAAGGTGAAATGAGGCCGCTGCTGTCAACACGCGCTTTGATAGTCTCGTCTCTGGGGATCCGCGAGGGCAAAAGAAACAGAATCGAAAGGAAAGACTGCTTGCTTGTATGAAGAGAAGTCGCAGAACCGAAAGGGAGGGATTCAAAGCGATACTTAACTCTGCCCTTTCCCTAGGTACAACCTTTTGAGGTCTTGTCATCACGCCCCCCGGGTTTCCTGTCCCCCGTCCGCTGTCCTCCCCGTTCTACCCACCTACACAGTCC